CCCCCAGTTCTGCCTTAAATCACAACAGATAACTCTGCCCAAAGTCAGGGGGCCTAGAAACAGAGCTTCAACAGGCTGGCTGGCTGTCAACACACACAAGCCATGAAACTGCATTGGTACCCCTTCTGAGCCAGGCTGAGCTGTGGGCAAGTGGAACACAAACCCACTCAGGCCCGGGTGCTCTCTGAGTATCTCCCTGACCCCGAGCAGCCCATGCTTCCCCTCCTCCCCGACTCTGGCCTCCCACCAGCCAGCTTCCTGGGGGCTGCAGTCTGGAACAGGTGAGGCAGCCCTCCTTCCTCTGCCATCCCATGGTCTCCTCAGGCAGAGGGTGATACATGAGCAGCTGCCTGCCAAGTCTCCTCCTGGCTATCCTCCTATCTAGGTCCCCTCAGCTCTCTCTGCCTGGTAGGGAGGAGCCGCTAGAGTTAAGCGGATTTCATGCTATTTTCAAAGTCATTTTCCACGGAAATTTTTTTTATATTGTTAAACCTACTTTCTGCTGCTTCTCATCTCCCTGAAAGCTTCCTCCTCCTCTTCTGTGAGATAAACCAGAAATGGGAACATTTAGGAACCTGGTAGTGACACCCTACAGCCATCCTGGGTTGTCACTAGCCAGGGTTGGGGTGAGGAAATCACTCTAGAACCTTCCTGTTAGAAGTCAGGCCAGTGAGCTGGGCAGACAGCACCCGGGGCCGGAGCAGGATCCCCCTGCACACAGACCCTGAGCTTTGCTTCTCGGCCTTCCAGCCCTGTCCTAACAACTGCCTGTGTCAGATGTCTGTCCCTCAGCTTCCCATCCTCCTGTGACAGCCACCAAACTGGGATGAGAGTTTTACCACCAATGACCAGGGTCATCTGAGGAACAATTGAGGCATGTCCCTGAGATCCCCCTTGCAAGCTACATTTCTCAGAGAAGAGCTGGCCCTAAGGGTGTCAGGATGAGCTATGAGATGCCGAAGCCAGCATATGCTTCCTCGCGACCCCACTGCAGTTTTTTGTGCATTCCACGTGGAAGCCTCTATCATATTGTGTCAGACCACAGCTGCCAGTAAACCGACGCCTTTTCGAGGACAAGAGTTGAGGCCAAATGGCTCTGTTTCCTCAGCTTACAGAACAGGGCTCAGCCTACCATGGGTTGCTGGAGAGGAGCCTATTACGTCTGCCAGAACATTTGTGAGCAAGGCTGATCCAGCACTTTGGCCACAGACAGCTGAACCAGACTTGGGCCAGCGTGTGGCCTCAGATGTGACCTGGCATGAGAGCTACGCTCAGAGGAAAGGATGAGGATGGCCTGGGCCGATCAACTTCTCTTCTCTGTGATAATCCTGCAGTGTGGAACCATGTGAGGCCCGCAATGTTCCTAGGGGCCTGCTGGGATGGAGATGTGGGAGAGAGAAAACTCTAGGACGACACTCAGCTTTCTGGACAAACTGATAACCTGATGCTGGCAGCAATCAGGGTGAAAATTACTCAGAGAAGAGCAGGTTGGTGGGGAATGGGGACATGAGCCCAGATTGGCGGGTGGTGAGACTGGGGTGCTGGTGGAACATCCAGGAGAGGCAGTTGAGATATGAGGTGGATGCTCAGGGCCCAAGAGCCACCCAAGGGCCTGAGTGCTGCACTCCAGAGAATATTTGAGGAGCAACCTCATGCATCAAGGTAGACAAGATGATTACCAAAACACAGGGCCCCTGCCCCCAGGGGATAAATATATAGATATAAAAATTTTCTAATTATTCACATTTCACCCGATTGCTTTTTTTAGGGTAAAGCTTTATATTCAAAATTTTTAGAACCAGTTGTTACTTTACAATAGCACAGAACGTGGAAGATGTACAGCTAACCTTACATATTCTGTTGTTTTCTCTCTTTATTCAGTGTTCATTTCACTGGAATTTGTCTCCATCTGCATCTGAGATAGAAAGTGGTGCAAAGAGATACAAATAATTTCAACAATTGTCAACTTCAAAATCAGCATGACATATTCTTGGCAAATACGGTCACTGCTCAGGTATTTCTGCCTTTCTAAGCAGATTATAAAGGAAACAGCTTTTCTACACAAGAATAATTTGACCATACTTATAAAACCTTTTCCAAATCGATAAATATTGACATTTTTATCTTATTTTTTTTCCAACAGAAACTAAAGTATTTCCCTGTGGGTTTGGGACTCAGTGCTGGCCTCTGACAAAAGGACCTTTCAGTCTTGGGACAGAAGTGTCTGTAATCTAGAGAGAAACCTTGAGCAAGAGTCTCCTTGGGCATTAGCTTCCTCCTAGAAAACAGGAATTAGATTCCCAGGGGCTCTCAAACTGGACAACATTTTTAACAATAGCAAATGCTCATCTAGCATTTACTATGAGCAAGGTACTATATTATAGGCATTACTGTAATACCCATTTTACAGATGGAGAAAGTGAGTCACGGCAAGGTTAAATAACTCACCCATGTATATATAGTGCCTCTCCAATGTCTAAGTTTAGAATCAGTAGGTCTGGGTGGGGGCCTGGAATCCACACTCCTAACAAGCTCCCCCCATGGATTCCCATCCAGGTGATTTTTAGACCCCATTATGAGACACTGCTCCAGGCATCAGAAGATCTGCTCTGGTTCTGAGTGCAGGGGAGCATATAGGAGAATCCAGAGCCCCAACCAGGGCAGTTCTCAGGAAGAGGTTGGTGCCACCCTCTGACAGACAAGGCAGTAAAGGGGGTAGACTGGAGATTGGAAATAGCTAGATAGGGCTGTGCCTACAGGGAACCCAGATGTTGTCTCTTGCTGCACCGCATTGCCACCTGCTGGCTGTAGGTGGCCATCGCAGGCCAGGTAGGAACACCGTTTGTCCAACCCTTTGACAAATGTTAAGGGACTACCAAGTAACTACATTGCTTGGGGGTTCAGTGGAGACCCCACAGAGCATAAGACAAGCCATGACAATGCTGCATGGTTAGCACTACGGGAGGGGGAAAGGTCAGTCTGGATGAGGGGTACAGCGTGAGGGGTCAGTGGGGAAAAATGAGCTAGAGGTAGGTAGGGACTAGACTAGTGGACCACCTTCGAGTTTGGATTTTGTGCTAAGGGCAATGGGAAATCCAGAATGGGTCAGATTTAGGTTTTAGTAAGACCATCCCGGCCTTTGTTGGGAGGATGGAATGGGACAGTTTGAGTGGAAGCAGAGTCAATCTGAAAACCATTCCCGTATCAGAGATGAGAGGAGCCACTGGCCTAGATTAGGGGGTGGCTGCGGGGATGGAGAAAAACAGGCAATGAGAAATATTTAGGAAGTGGGATTGATTAGGTCTGATAAAACTGAATCCCAAAGGATAACAGGAAGAAAAGCCTAGTGGCTCCATTTCATTCATTCCTTTTTCAACAAATTACAGCACCTACTATGTGCCAGGAACTAATCTGCCTGCTGGGAATGCAATGGTGTAAGCCAGTCAGGAAAAAGTCCTGCTTTTCACGGAGCTTATGTTTTACTGGGGGTGGGGGGGGGGGGGTGAATAAGCAAATAAACAAAAAAAACATCAAATGGGAATAAATGCCATGTAGAGAATTCTAAAGGGTGATGCAATAGTGACTCTGAGAGATCTGAATGGTAAGGAGCTTGCCCTTAAAGACGACAGGGAAAAGCATTCTAGACCAAAGGAACAACACAAAGGCCCTGACAGCAGGAGTTAAGTGTAGCATGTTCTCGATCAGAGGCAGCCAGTAGGGCTGGGGCTGGGACACGAGGCAGGAGAGTGAGTCAGGGGCCAGGTTAGGAAGGCCTTTGTGAGACAGCACAAGGGATTCTAAGAGTGAAGGGAAGCCGCTGGCACATTTTAGACAGGTAAGTGGTAGAATCAGATCTCGCTTCAAGATCTCTCTGGCTGCTCTACAGAGAATGGATTGTATGGGGCAAGAGTGGAAGCAGGGAGACAGGAAGCTGAGATGTGGGCCAGGAGAGATGATGATGGCAGCAGCATGATGGGGAGGATTCTGGGCATACTATAGGGTCAGAGTCAGGACTTCCGACGGATTGGATGTGGGGGTGAAAAAACAGCAGAACCAAGAATGACTCCCCAAGACCATGGGGATGAGAGAGACTGCAGGAAACTTAGACAGGAGGAGAAAGGGCCTAGGAGCACTCCTTCCCCAATGATACCACATCCCAATAAGCAAAGGCCTGGCCTTAAAGAACAGCCCCACTGGAGGGGACATGCAAGTTAACCACTCTAGAGCTCAGTTTCCTTACCTGTGACTGGGCCTCACCGGCCTGGATGCCTGGCAAGGAGTAAACAGAATGAATACCTGATACAGACTTGACCCTCGTGCTGGCCTGGCCTCTGAGCACACTTAGTGAGCCCGTTTTCTACCATTGGTGGGAGCTATCTTTCCAGGCAGTCACAGCCCAGCCCCCAGCTGGAAGAACACCTAAGGTCACTTCTAGATCCAATTCTAAGCAGAATCCCCAGAGTAACCCCCTCTACCCCTCAAGCCCTGGACCTGGGAATGTCCCATCAAAAGAGAGAAATGGTCACTCTCAGTCTCCTTAAACCAAAAGGAAATGTGGGAATGAGCAGTCACATCCTGACAAAACAAATACCAGACACCAAGGGCTGTGGGCACCACATCACTTTATTTCTTTGGTTTTCCAACTTCACTCTTGGACAATGCAAATTCAGTCTCTCATCTGCCTGGCTGCTGTATGGTCCCTCACTGAAGATGGGGCAGTCTCTGAGGAGATGCTCTGCAGAAAGATGCCCCCGTCTTGGTCCCCAAGAGCCAGCCAGGCTGGCAGAGGACTGCAGGGTCCACAGCACATGGCCAAGCACCAGTAAGCAGAGACTCGAGGCCCTCTCCCCTCACCCCTTACCATACTCCTTGAAAGGGACAGGCCAGCCCCTCAGTGATCCGGCTCACGGTCTTCTCTTAGAGGCCATCCTTGATTCTTCCTATACATCCCTGCTTCTGCTCATGCCAAGCCTGGCACCCTCTCCCTTGGGAGTGTCAGACAGAAGCCACTGACCCGCTCCACACTTGATGTCTAATGTTCCTTTAGGCACCATCTTGAGTAAGGACAGTGCCAACTGCCAAAAGGAACTGAATATATATATTCTGCCCACTGGGACAGATGGCCATGCTATAATACTCTTTTTGTCCCCAGGAATAGCTGAAAGCAGCATTAGGTAACCAACCCCCCTCCAGACCCCCACACACGTACAGCTTCCAACACCAGCAAGGGGGCCCAGCCAACCCCCTTAAATCAAAACAAAAAACTAAAACCAAGACACAACAATAAAAATAAGAATGGCAAACAACTGAAGTGAACATCTCTGGTCCTGCAGCTCTCTGCAGAGGACCAGATGGCTGATTTCTGGCTCTCTCTGCCCTGGAGCCAGAAAACACAAATCTCCCCTTGCATTCAGGATAGATACTGTGGGAGCCGGAACAAAGGACATCCTGGCCAAGCCAGGGAGCAACTCAGGTCCCTGACCCTCTCTAAACTGGCCCCCCTTCCTCCCCGCCCCATTCACACCTCCCTGTCAGCCATCAACCAAGGTTAGGCCATCATAGAGGGCGCGCTTCCACATGTAGTAGGTGGAGCGGGCAGTGAAGGGGAAGAGGGCACTGAACTCCTTGTAGGAGGGGAAGCTCTTGGACTGGAAGCGCTTCTGCAGGAACAGCTTGGCCTGGGCCTTGAACTTCGTGGTGGCGAGCATGTCCATCACCAGCATTTGGCCGTCCCTGCCACTTGCCGCTGCCACCACAGGACGGCTGGACAGGGACCCACCGTGGGGCCGGTTCTGGGCCACGACCCCCCCTGGCAGGACCCCGTCTCTGGAAGGCCCTCCCTGGACCTTCCCTGGATCCTCTCCTGGAGAAGCCCCCACCTGCAGGATCCCTGCAGGTGGGGCCATGGCAGCTGTCACATTCCTACCAGATTCTTTCTCCTGCTTCTCCCCTGCCCCTTGCACCCCCGCTTTGCCCAAGGTCAGGGCCTGCACCTGAAGCTTAGACATGCTTCTGGGCCAGCCCCGGGCAAGACTCTTCCAAACCCAAAAGGTGGAGGGTGACAAGCTAGGGTAGCGGAGGCGAAAGCGACAGAAGGGGAGATGCCCACTCAGCACCTGTTTGCGGGCAGCCCTGCGCAGACGCCTCTGCCAACGGGACAGGGGCATCCTCAGGGGCAGGAACTCCCGGGGGGCAGGTGGCCCCCCACCTGCTGCTTTCCCTGCCCTGTCTTCCACCTCACCCTTCCAAGGGAGTAGGGCCTCTTCCCCAACAGATGCAGGCTGGGGAACCCTGGCCACCGAGAGGGCTGGTGGCGGCTTGAAGCTGGGGTTCCTTCGGAGGGCCTTTCGGCGCCAGTTGTAGTAGGTGGACCGGGAGATGCCAGGGAACCTGCGTTTGAAGCAGCGGTAGGGTACCAGTGTGTTCAGGGAGATGCAGTGCTCCAGGTACAACTTGGCCCGCTGCATTAAGACCATTCCAGGGCTGGACACCGCCAGTGACGAGCATCCGAGCCCCTCGGTGACCTGTTCCTCCGGCAGCGTCTCCAGCTCCTCCATCGCCAGTGCCTCCTTGGGGGCCAGGGCCTGGCAGGTGCCAGAGCCCAGCAGCTCGTGCTTCCAGGCATAATAGGTGGAGCGTGAGATCTCGGGGAACCTCTGGAGGAACTGCTGCAGGGGCACGACACCCCCACGGTGGAAGCTGTCCTGCAGGAAGTGCTTGGCCGAGAAGCGGGCAGCCACCTTCTGCCGGTGCTCCTGGGACTGCCGCCGCCAGCGGTAGAAGGTGCTCTTGGTGACACTGTAGCGCTCACAGAGGTGGGAGTAGCTGAGGCCAGGCTCCCGGTTGAGCAGCTCCAGGGTCTTGGCCGGTGGTGGCAGCGGGGCCAGGGCTGGGCCAGTTGCACCTTCAGCCTCCACCTCCTCCAGCCCCACCACAGGGGCAAAGTACTGGTGGCGGAAGAGGTGGCTGGTGAGGGGCTGGCCAGCCCACATGATGTGCAGCGTGGCAGGTGTGTGGTCACAGCGGCGGGGCCGGATGATGCGGTTAAAGTAGGGCCGGATCTTGAGGTTGCGCATGGGGTAGATGGAGTAGATGTTGCGCTGCAGGACAGAGGCGAGGGCATACAAGTGCCACACATTGGAGAAGCTGCTAGGAAAGCAGGTGGCCTTGACATCCGCATCGAAGATGGCCTCCAGCGTGGCGGACGGCAGGCTAGTCATCTCCGGGGACTCCTCGGAGCACAGGGAATAGCGCACGGCCTGCAGCATCACCTTGGACTCGATCATGCCCTGGAGGTAGTAGTGTCTGTGCAGCAGCATCTCCACCACAGTCCGGGCCCGCAGTTCCAGGCTGAGGCCTGCGTCACCCCACAGCAGCATGCTGGCCGCCTCAAACAGCAGGCTGCCCTCGCCCTTGCACAGCAGCGGCAGCATGTTCCGGGGAGCATCCTCTGGGTACAGGCTCAGGGCCACCGAGTCCACCTCCAGCATCTGGGGGCCGGGGCCCCCCTCCCGGCAGGTGGGGAGGGTGAAGGAAAACAGGACCCGTTTGGCCTCAAGGGCCGCACCCACGAGACCCTCCAGGCCCTCGGACTCCACTGCCTCTTGCAACTCCTGTAGCACCTGCTGCACCAGCTGCTCCCGAGATTTCATCCTGCCAGGGCAAAGGATAGAGGGCAAAGGTCAGGACAAAGTACCCAGACGATACCCAGCAATGGCGCCTTGTCCACTCCTGCACTTTCCCCCTCAAGACAATGTCCATCCATTCCCATTCCCCCAGAGCAAATAATGGCTAAGTGCCGCCTGGGGTTTGTTTAATTGCTCAATGCTATTGAGGAAGAGCTTGTCTCCGGAGCCTGGCTTTTGGTTTTGTTTTATTTTTGGTGCCTGGACAGGGACTTGAACCCTAGACCTTCAGATTAAAAGTAGAGCCTAGCTTTGAACCCTGGCTCTGATATTAGCTTGGGCAAGTCACTTAACCTTTCCTTGCTTCTGGTTCCTTTTCTGTAAAATGGGGATGATGATAAAAGTATCTACCTTATAGGGCTGTTGTGGGTATAAATGAGACAATGAGAATCAAGGATGGAGATATATGGGCATATACACACACACACATATATATAAATCCATCCTTAGACTAGTGCCTGGCACATAGCGAAGTACTACAGAAGCATTAGCTATTATGGCGTATTATCTAATACTATTCATATTATATAATACAGTTGTAAAAGCGGTACCTCTGTACCTGTAAAGGCTTACAAGCACATAGAGCCAAAACTGGTCTGCCTTTCCCTAGTATAGTGATTCTCAAAGTACGGTCCGTGGACCCGTGGAGTTCCATGAGACTTTTTCAAGGCGTCTGCAAGTTAAACTATTTTCATAATAATATTCAGACAATTTAATAGTAAGATATTATTTGTCTTTTTCACTGTATTAACATTTGAGTAAAACTGTGGCGCCTTAGCATGAACTGAGGCAATGGCATCAAACTGTGATAGAAGTCCTTATGTTCTTCACTCCCACATACCTGCAGTTAAAAAAAAAAAAAAAGCTAGTTTCACTCAAGAATGTCCTTGATGAAGCAGTAAAGATTATTATTTTTATGAAATCACAACCCGTAAATACACAACTTTCCAGTATTGGGAGTGACAAAATGGGGAGTACTCCTCCAGCATTTCTGCTACATAGAAGCATGACGGATGTCTCACATGGGCGATTGTTTGGGTTGTATGATGAACTAATCGTTCTTACCATGGAATACCATTTTTACTTGAAAGAAAGATTGAGAGACATTCATCATTTAGACTTGGGTATATTTGGCAGACATTTTCTCAAAAATGAATAAGGTGGCCTGTCACTTCAAGGAAAACTACTAACTATTTGCCACCAGTGAAAAATTTTGAGCTTTCATTTGAAAATTAGAATTTTGGAAAACCTGTATCCACTACAGTGAGCTTGACAGCTTCCTGTTGCCTAAAGACTTTTCTGATGGGATGAGTGGTGACACTAACGTTACAAATGTAACGTTTTATGCTGTATAACGGAATTGTCAACATTTGGAGATCTGCAACACGCAATGAACTGTATTTCCCAAATAACCAATGGGTGATGTTACAAAGTCATGCATGGGTAAAAGATCCATTCAAAGTATAAAAGAAAGCAATGGATTTTAATAATAATAGGGTTCAAAAAGTTCATGGATATTGTTTCAGATTCCACATTATAACTAAGCTTTGAGAAACTGCTACTTGTTGAGTTTTGGGGTAGCTATCAAATAATATCCACTAAAAACACTATCAAAATACTCTTCCTTTTTCCATCTATATTACTTGGATGAAGTTAGATTTTCTTCATATCCATGTATCACAACAGATTGAATGTAGAGACAGATCCGAGAATCTACCTATCTTCTATTAAACTAGATATTACAGAGATTTTTAAAAATGTAAAAGAACACACTCCTCACTAAATTTTTTTTTGTTCTGGAAAAGTTATTTTTCACAAAAACTACTATTTGTTACTATGTAACGAGTTTGTCATTTTTAATAAATATTTTCAAAATTTCTATTTTACTTTTGAATACAATATACATTGATAGAGGTAACCTATATAAACAAAAGCTCTTCAGGTTTCTCAAGTTTTAAGAACATACCAGTTTGAGACCTGCTGCCCTGGAACAAAGAGTCTTTTCAAAGGGGGGCGGTAGCCCAGCCACCGTGCTGGCGTAGATCTAAGAACTAAGATTTACCGAGCTTTTGCTATTTGCCAAGCACTGTCATCCTGACAGGCACCCTTAAAGGTAGGTACTACGGTTATTCCCCCATTTACAGGTGAGAAAACTAAGTCGATGCAAGTTAGGCTAATTTGCCCAAGGTCACACAAGTGGTGCAACCAGTAGTTGAAACCAGATCTTCCCTAGGGCCTATGGTTCATCTACTCCAGTTTAAACTGCCAGCCACCTTTTCAACACAAACTCATCATTCTAATTACTGGTACATTTTCAGTGTTGTATTGCAAAGCAAAGTAATATTCCTTTATGGACACTGCTTTCAAATGAAAAAGGAGACCATTATCCTTTCTCAGATCTTTGTTCTCAGAGTTCGATAAATTGCTTTATATTAGCCTTAGGGTTAAAAATTGTGTTTGGGTGTAAACATTTGTCAACTCACCTAACTGCACATTTAAAAGCACATTTTGCACACGTAAAAGGGATGTGTTTGAGTGTAAATTATGGTTCAATAAAGTTGAAAAAATTTTTAAAACACCAAAGGAATACCGCCAGAATTTTACTTGATAGTCATAAAAAAGAAAGCTTTTTAAAAACTGGTCATCCGAATCACCTTTGGATAAAATTTCTTGGCTATAAATTTTTGTTTTAATGTGTATATTATGACAAATCCGGTCTAACCTCTCACCTAATTTCTATTTGTATCATATTATTTGACCCTGGAATTGGGCTTTTAATCTGTTCTTTTATGTACTTTGTATTTACTTTTTAAAAAACTGTTAGTTTTCTTTGGACTCAGGAGAGAAACTTCTATCAGTCCTTGGTAAAGAGAGCACTCCTGTATGCAATAAAAAATTGAGCCCTGAAGAACAAACTGTACACACAGAAGAGCTTTTTCATCCTGGCAGACAACAGAGACGCTGGGTTCTTGTTTGTCTTGCAAGTCACTTGTTGAACGCTGCTATACAGCTGCATATAAATGAGCACTCTGCTAGATACTTTGCAAACAAAATTAACGAAAACAGCTACCACTCACCTACTCCTTCTTATACATTTAATTTAGGTTCAACCAAAATCTCAGAATAAGAGGGGACAATTAATCTAAATTGTGTGGGTGATTCTTTCTGCCCTTCCCTTCAAGGAGCCTCTTTCCTGAGGAGAGCACGATGTTCCCTCGGGTCATTACAAGTCTCTGTGGGCTTTACATGGGGTGAGCGTTTGGATTTCAGGCTTTTTAGAGATAATTTTGTTTATATGTGGTTCTCACCTTCCCCCCATGTGAACTACAACTTCATCACACCTGCACCATCGCTCCTATATCACACCTGGAGAAACGGAGGCTTAGGGGTTAAATTAAATAACTTTCCCAAGACCACACAGCTATTAAAGCTACAAAACCTAAGCATTCACTCCAGAGCTCCCTCCTAACCACTGTAATTCCACCACCCAGGGGAATACATCACCCAAAATGCTCATCAGCCAAAGGATCCAGAAACAGAGGGATTCTTGGAGCTTTGAGACACACCTGGCCATTCTACAGATAAGGAAATTGAGGTCCAGAAAGGGAAGATTGACTTGCCTGAATTCATGCAGCAGTATCCAGATACCTTCCAACACAAGGTCCAGATACACACTTCCTCCTGCACAGACGCCACTCCTCCCTACCCTACCTGTCCCACCCAACCCCTTCCCTGTCCCAGTCACACCCCGCTCCACCCTATCTCATTCCTTTCTCTTCCCCAAAGACGTAAGAGGAGGTGTGAGCAGGTAATACCCTACTTCTGTTTTCCTCAAAACCTTGCTGAGAAAAAGGAGCTCCCTGGAGAGGCTCTGCACCCCACATCCGCTCAAGTGGCTCTGGACCATCAGACAACGGGGCAGTGGGGAAAGGCCAGAGGCTGTACCAAGAAGCCAATCATCCTTAAGTAGACAATTGATTGATGGGGTTCAGGTGCAACAGTCTTTCCAACAGTGGCTCCCTGGAAGTGCAATGCAATGCAGAGCAGGCGATTGCCAGGTGCATTCATGGAACGAGGTGCAGAAAGTGAGAGCTAATCTATGGGCTTTGCCCAGCTGGCCTCACCTGCCCCCCGCAACTCTTGGAGGGATCTGAAAAGACATGAAACCAGAGAGGCGCAGCTCCCTCAGATTACACAGGCCTCCTGGCTTGAGGTTGGGAGGAAGGTAGTAAAACAAGGCATCCAGAAAGCGTCTTAGCACCTAGGAAGGGCTCTGGAGCCAAGGAATGAATGAATGGACATGGGCAACTCTGCAGGAGACTCAAAGCCTCACCTTCACCATGGCCAGCTTTCCTCCACCCCCAGTCTCCCTGTTTCAAGCAGACGGGGTCTCGGAGCCCAGGTCTGGCCTCTGTCCCTTGCATTTTAGGAGTGAGCCAGGGCTCTGTGTAGGGTGAGGGAAGGAAGAGCGAGGGGTCTGCTGACATGAGGCTGGTAAGTCTCCTCTGGCCTCTAGAACAAACTCCCTCCCTGCCAGCCTCAGCCTGGGCTCTGCATTTGCTCACCAAGCACCCCGTGTTCTCCCATCCCTTTTCTCCCCGTCCCTCATAAAGTGGGCCCTGCAGTCTCTATAGCTGACCCGGCCCAACAAGCATGAGGGAGTGCCACACAGGCCTCAGCCCTTGGTGAGATCAATTAAGACCGTGGTAAACCGGCTGGTACCTCACCCGGCCTGGCTCCACTCCCCTAGTCACGCTGGCCCGATTGCCCAGGCTGCGCCCTGGGCTCGAGGGAGCACCAGCCATCTTGGCTCCCTCCTCGGTGGCCAGGAGGCCCAGTAGGGCATGGGTGTGAGTTCCCAAGGAACCCCCCACCACCAAGGGCAGCGAGAGCGCCAGGGGGCACCAAGGTAGGCATAAGCCCACCAAGTCAACCGTGCCTCGGGCATTCCAAGTTCAGCTGCTCTAGCGGACCACGTGTCTAGAAGGTAGGAGACGGGAGAGTACGGCCCACGAAAGGATTCAGCACAGGCCACCAGTCGCCACTGAGGGTGCCAGGAGGCAATGGTTGGCATGGGAAAAACCTGGCTGATCAGGGGCATCTGAGACAAGGGACCCAACCTGGAAATCTCCGGGTGTCTGTGGGGAGGGGCCGAAGCCAGACCATTGTGTAAGGTGGGGAGGGGAGATAGGCCTGCGGGTGGGGGTGGGGAAGGGGCTGGAGGTGGGGGTGGGGAGAAAGGGAACTTGAAACAATGCCTCACCTCCCCTTCACACACACACACACACACACACACACACACGCGCGCGCGCGCAGCATCCTTCATGGAGTCACTCCATGACCCTTGGGCCCTTTAGTGTCCCAAGGCCATTTCCCATTCCCCTGGGGCTCCAAGCTGTAGGAGGCACCCACGCTTCCTAATTTTGAGGAAATTTACTAGTTTACTGACCTCGAGGGTGGCCCAGAGCCCTGGGGGCATCCACTTCTCTCTCCACCTTCCAGTTTGGGACATTTAAGTCACCCTGCGGGCAGCGTCCCCAGCTGAGCGCCACTCTCACTCCAGAACTGGTTTCATATCTGTAGTGGACCACTGAGCATGGACCGTCTACAGCCAACTGGCCGGTGGAGAAGCGACTTAAGCCACTCCCCCCAGGAAATCGCCCACCCTCAAGTGCTCTGGTCTTAAGATGAAAGAAGTGCAAATTCGGGGGTCACTTCCAATGGTAAAGTGATAGCAGCTATTGTCTCGTCCACTCTACCCAGCTGGGGGTGTTAAAGCGTCCGGACCTAGCTCTGAAACAGACCCCAAACTGCTCAGGGAAAACTTAAAAGAAAGTTGAAAGATTTCCAAAGACTTTGGGGGGAGGGGAGGGGAGGAGAAGGTTTTAGATAGAAAGACCTAAGGAAAGAAAGTCTGTGGCCAGGCTAAGAGGGGGAGGGGGTAAGAGCGAAGCTGGAAACTGGCCTTGCATGATTGGTGAGGCTTTGGACCCCTCTGTATCCCCAAGATGCATCTCTTCCTGAGGCAGGGCCCCATCTCTGGCCCTGCAAGACAAGGAGGCTGGAGAACTCACTGCTCCCAACTTGGCGCAGGCCTCCTTTTCTTCCAAGAAAGCCCCACTTTCTCCAAGGCCTCCATCCCCACCTTTCTCTGAGCATCCCTCAGGTTAGGGGCTCAAAGTGTGCCTGGGCCAGAGCTGCTTCTGTCAGGGACCAGAGCGCCTATCCCAGGACACCTGGTTGTCTGAGCTCAGCCAGAAAGTGGGAGTGTGCGGTACCTGGGGCTTCCGTCCCTCCCCACAGCTCACCTCAGCCCGGGGGCCTCAGATAATCCCGGAGGAACCAGTCCTATCCGCCCGTCTAGTCCCCACTGGTGGGGGAGGTGAAGGCCGCCCAATTGCAGCCTTTGGTGGTAGCTCCCCCCAGGGGCTTTCCTGCCCGGCTTTAACCCTTTGCAGTGCTGGGGCTAGCTGCTTCTCTCCCGGGCTCCAAGTTCCACCCTCCAATTCTCTTTATCGCCTTACCCCTGGGGACCACTGTAGAATGCTCCCCAGTGTCGGTTCTGTCCCAGCTCTATTATAATATTCTATTATCATTCTCTCCTCTGCCAATCATAAACTCTGTATTTATCATCTAAGTCAAAGATCCTTTATCAATCACCATTCCCAGGAGCACTGGACATGGTGGGGGGCACCAGATGTGAACTCAAGTCAGAATCCCACCAGCCCCACCCACCATGATGGCAGTCGCCTGAGGCAGTGGTTTAGTGGTCTCCTGGACTTGGATTTGAATGCCAACCCTGCCCTTACTAGAGCATGGCCTTAGGCAAATTGTTTAAACCTTCCGGAGCCCACATTTAGTGCTTACAGGGGAATAACATTTACCCCAGAGAGTTATTGGGTAGATTCAATGAGATGATAAATTTCAAGCATGTAGGCCTGTGCCCAATGCAAAGCCAGTATATTTCAGTTCTCAGCCTCTCCAGTTAATTTGAAATTATTTTTAAGTTCTTAGTATAAATGCAGTATTAAAAAAGTTTCAGAGAATAGTGATTATCTTGTAGAAGGAGATGGAATTACGAGATACTTTTTCTTTCCACATTGTATCTTTCTGTGTTGTTTGACATTTTATAAGGAGTCTGAATTACTTGCTATTATTTTAAAAAGCAATGAAGATCATTTAAATTTCTTAAAAAGCTAATGGAATCTTTAAAAGTATTTTTTAGAAAGGAACAATAGTGGGGAGAAAAAGGTTTGTTGGTGCTTCCATTACCAAGGTAAGAGTCTTATTTATAGACTAATTAGGAAAACTTAGAATAATTGGGAAAATTTTAAAAGTAAAGTAGAAGGAAGAAAAAAATTACCTATAATCTCATCGTCTAAAGACAGCTATTGTGAACATCTTGATATATTTCTTTCTAATCTAGTTTTGTTCTTAGACTTACACAAATTAAAATTTCTCTTTACAAAAGATCCAAAAAGTACAGAGTAAAAAATATAGGAAATTGAGCAAGTCCTCTCTTTGGGTCCCTAACACATTCTGCTCACTGTGTTGATCTGCCAGTTCTTTTTCTGTGCATTTTCATCTTTTTCTGTGCATCTACACATGTATATTTTTCTAGTCTCTCTATGCATATTTTGTTCTGTTAAACATTTTTAAAACACTTTTGACTAAATATATATCATTTATGTACATAATACATAATACGTATTATGTACATAAATGATATACAAAATGCTTGTAAATTTTGGTTCAGGAATTTATGAAAGGATTTAGGATTCAAATTTCCGCCCTGTTCCCTATCTACGGTCTCTCTTTCTCCAGAAGCAGCCAATATTGTTTCTAGGGTATCATTCCAGAAATATGTTATATATAAACAAGCAAATCTCTGAGAGGGTGCTTTTTTCCTATCTCTAACACACAATTGATAGTATACCAAACACTCTGATGTACCTAGCCTTTTCACTTTCATTCTTTCTTTTTTCTTTTTTTTTTTTTTTGCTGAGGAAGATTCACCCTGAGCTAACATCTGTGGCAAATCTTCCCCTCTATTTTGTTATATGGGCTGCCACCACAGCATGGCCACCAACCAGCAGTGTAGGTCCGAGCCTGGGAACCGAACCTGGGGCTCCAAAGCAGAGCACAACAAACTTAACCACTAGGCCACTGGGGCTGGCCCCTCATTTTCTTTTTTTATCTAGAACCACCATTGTCCCATGAAATGTAACAAGAGCCACAAACGTACTTTTACATTTTCTAGTAGCCATATTAAAAAAAAATTAAAAGGAACAACTGAAATGAACTTTAACAATATATTTTATGTAAACCAATATATCTGAAATATTATCATTTTGACAGGAAATCAGTATAAAAAATTAATTAATGAGATATTTTACATTCCTTTTTTGTACCAGCTCTTTAAAATCCAGTATGCATTTTCCATGGAAAGCACATCTCAAGTAGAACCAGCCGCATTTCAAATGTTCTGTAGCTACATGTGCTGGTGGCAAATGTATTAGCAGGTGTCCAGACTTAGCATGAACTCCATTTCATGAATGAACATGATGTACTATCCTTTCTCTATTGATGAACATTAAGGTCATTTCCAGCTTTTACTCTTAAACCATGCTGCAGTGGGTAACCCTACACATACGTAATTTTGCACATGTGTAGGTGTAACTATACTTTCAAAGTACATGTATGGTAGCAATTTGTACAGATTTTGCCAAATTCCCCTCCTTAGAAGTTGTACCAGTTTGTTTCCCCAAAAACATAATATGAGAGCGCGGTCTCCCTACCTCTTGGCCAGCACAGTGCGTTGTCACATTTTTTTATCTTTGCCAATCTAATAGAAAAATTAGTCCCTCAGTATGGTTTTAACTTACATTTTTTCATTATGAGTAAGGGACAGCATTGTTCATATATTTAAGAGCCATCTAGGGCCGGCCCCGTGGCTTAGCGGTTAAGGGTGCGCACTCTGCTGCCGGCGGCCCGGGTTTGGATCCCGGGTGTGCACCGACGCACTGCTTCTCCAGCCATGCTGAGGCCGCACCCCACATACAGCAACTAGAAGGCTGTGCAACTATGACATACAACTATCTACTGGGGCTTTGGGGGAAAAAAATAAATAAATAAAAATTATAAAAAAAAAAAAAAGAGCCATCTATGTTTCTTTTCCTGTGAAGATCCTTTGCCCGTTTTGCCATTGGGCTATAGACCTTTTTCTTACTGATTAGTGAGAGTTTTGTATAAAGACAGCCCTTGGTCTATGATAGGAATTAGAAATATTTTTTCTGAGTTTGTCGTTTATAATTGGACTTTGCTTATGGTGGTGGTAAATTTTAATTTACCTTTATTTAAACTATTAAGATGAAGTGTCACAAAATTAAGGGCCTAGTCATAGGTGTCCAAACACCAAAAATCCCAGATTCCCAGCAATAGTTAAACCAACTCCTGCAAGTAGACATCTTTAGTTAATATGTACCTTGCTTTGAACAAAATTCAGATTTAGGAAGCTGATGAGTTGGGGGTAATCCTTCACTTATAAAAGGACATACAATAGAAAAGCTTCGTTTAAATAATGAGCTGAGATGAGTAATTAACTGTGTTTAAATTTACAGCTTTCCAGCGGTTCTATAAGTGGAGGTTCACCTTTATTTGCATCAGCTATAAAAAACAAGTCCTGTATTGAGTGAAGTGTTTATTGAACACTGACTGGGTAGAGAAGTGTCTGAGCTTTGGAGTGGAATGGCAGGGTTGAAATTCCAGCTCTGCCCCTGTGTGCTGTTGAACAAATTTCCTCACATCTCCAGACCTAATTCCTCACTTAAAAAAGTGATGATAATAATACTGGAGAGGTGGCTGTAAGGATTAAATGAAAAACCACTTATGAAGTTCTTAGCACAGGTCTAATAAAACACTTAGTAAGGAACACTGCTATTAGACTTAACTCTCTTTCCTACTCATTCTCTTTCTAGAGAGATTTAAGGAATTCAGCCATCTGTCCATTCAGTTAATTCATCCACTCAATGCCTTATTGAATAATTTATATATTACTCCATCATTCATTCAATAATTTTTTTATTCAGTTATCCATTTACTCAGGCACTGTCATTCATTCAACAGATGTTTGAGCTCCTAATATGTGCCAGGTCCTGGGCAAGCCCTGAGGACACAGTAATGTCTACAGACCTCACTCTAGAGTCTGAGGATTGAGGCTCCAAATGTTTCTAATTTATTCCTCAACACAACAAACACCTATTGTGTTTACTGTACACAAGGGCCCAACATTCAACGGCTGCTGCTTTTACTTCCATGACATCATAATCTCCTGGTTTCCTTTCTTTGTTCCTTTTTCTCCTTTCTTCTTTTCCCTCCTCTCCAACTCTTCTTTTTTACCCTCTCTTTGCCTCTACCCAGGACTCAGGCCTTTACTACCCCTATCAGAGTCCCTTTGCGATTACCAAGAGACAAATGACCACTCAGACTCTGGAGTCAGACCAACCTGAGTTGAATCTCAACTCCTCTACTTCCTAGTTGAGAGAATTTAGGCAAATCTGACCCTCAGTTTCCTCATCTGTAAAATGGGGATAACGATATCCACTTTATTTGAATGATTGAATAGA